ACTGGTGTGGGACTGATAACAATGCACAGAACTGCGGGCCAGGCGTGGTGACCTAGCAGCTAAAATCCTCGCCTTGAGCATGCTGGGATCCCGTATGGATGCTGGTTCTAATCCCGGCAGCCCTCTTCCCATCCCTACCAGCTTCCTGGTTGCAGCCTGGGAAAGCTGTCGAGGATGGTTCAAAGGTTTAGGATCCTGCACCCATGCGGGAGACCTGGAGGAGATTCCTGCCTCCTGGCTTCAGATCGGTGTAGCACTGGCTGTTGAAGCCACTTCGGGAAAGAATTATCGGGCAGAAGATCTTCCTCTCTGTACATCTGACTTTGCAAAAATTCACAGAACTGAGCAGTAGACTGAAAACATCATAGCCAAGTGAGATAGGTTGTTTTGCTTAACAGTTGCAAAAATTTTTTAGCAGTTTTCTACTCCAACAGTGCTCTTTTCTCTATTGTAAGCTGCCACGTATGTATTATAAGACATGACAAAAGTGGAACTTAAAGGCAGTATAGTGGAATTCAAGTCCTCAGTGATTAAAAAAGAAATCTGTGGAAGTTCATTGGAAAAGCACAAACCTTTCATGATTTATAGTTATTGTAAAATCCCACAGTTAATTTACTGGTCGGCATTTAACCTATATCTCACGTCAGTGTACCTGGGCTTTTGATACCTCGCTCTGGCTCTCAGTTGACTCAAGCTTCCTGTTGGTGCAAGGAGACAGAGCTAATGGTTCAAGTAACTGGGTCCCTAATACACTTGTGGGAGACTGGACTGAGTGCCCTGCCCCGAGCTTTGGCCCTGCCCAGGCCTTGCTGTTGCATTTTAGGATTGAACCCATGCATGTGAGCTTTCTGTCTTTCTCTGTCTCTTGGATATGTAAATACACTTTAAAAGACAAAATATATATGTATTCGTGATAATACAGTTAACTTATTAGAATTTAGTGTAGCATAAAATAATTTTGCATTTGTTGAATTATGTTTTGGTTGTTTAAATATGTTTAATGTACTTCCTGTTTTCTCTGGGGATAAGTAGTAAGAAACAGTAATTTCTCTTCCTGGAACAATGTCAACATTTGTATCTGGTTTAACACATTTGACCTTAGTCTCTTCTAAGGAAGTGAGCATGTGTTCTCTGAGTAATCCCCAAGATAAATCTGTGGCTGAGCAACGGAGCAGTGAGATCCAATTCCAGTGTTGCTTCTGCACTGAAATAAAATTAAAATTCAAAAATTATATTAACAGTCTCCTACCGTTTTTATAGTCAGAGTCGGAAACAGACTGTATAGAGGAGGAGAAGGAAGAGAAGATGACAGCGAAGGCGATGATCATAGAGAAGAATTGGTGATGTCAGTGAGAACTGACGGGCGTGTCCTGTTATACCCATTTTAATAAGAGTTCCATCCTCTCTGGCAGCTCTGCTTTGTGAAAAATGCATGGAAGTAGGTGGTGTCGCCTCATCACACATCATACTCTTCTCAGTGTACAGAGCTGATGGTGGTGACTACTCCTGACCTTCTTGGTACCTTTTCCTCCCCTTAATGTTGAAAGGAAGCTCCTGACCCTGGAAGCAATAAAATAATTTGAAATATCTAGACAATAAAAATGACCCTTTAGTATTGTTGTTGTTGTTATATTTTGTCCCTTTGAAAAATAAAGCATTCCATTTACTTGGTTTAAAAATGGGAAAGTGGTATGTAAGACTCTTAGTAAAATTGCTGAACTTTGCAAGAAAACTCTTCCCTGGGGTGTACCCTTAGTGAGTGGAACAGCTTTACCTTGTGGCCAGGTGAAACCCAGCCAGGGATGAAACCAGGTCTTGAGCCCAGGAGTTCCCAGCCTTGGCTGCAGTCAGGGCTTCTTTACTGCAGCACTGTTCCTTTAAGATCATCATTCTTTTTTGGGGCAGGGAGCTGGGGTAGTGTTGAGAGGCCTTTTTGCTTTCTAAGATGTTTTAGCTGCATTCCTTGCCTCTACCCACAAGGTCCCAATAACACCCGACTCTGATTGTGACAACCAAAGATGTCTCCAGATTCTGCCACGTGAGCAGCGAAGTAATGCCCGAGGAGTCTCTTCCCCTGTTTGAGAACCATTGCATGGCACAGGGTCTATCAGGTGTCTTCTTGATAGTATTTTACAGACTTCACCTTTCGCTTTAAGCATTTTGAGTAAGCTTTATTTTTAAGAGCCGTAGATATAGATTGAGAGTGCATTACTAAGTAGATGGAAGAAAAGGTTTTCTAATTTGTAAATTCAATGTCACAACCTTTGGATGCCAAGTACAGTGTTTTTCAGACTGTAGGGGGCCAGGGAGGCGTTATAGGGTCAGGAATGTTCATTCCAGATGTATATGGTCACAATATACAATGTTTTTCTTGACTAGCAGAAAAACATGAAGCTGCCTCCTAAAGGATATGTAAGTACTGCCCAGGTTTCCCTTTCAAAGCAAAGAAATCTAAACAGACTCCAGAGTAATAGGTGCTTGGTTTCCTTGTTTATCTAGTTGGGTTAAACTTATCAGATGTTCTTTGAAATATGAAACAGCTGAATTTGTTCATTGAAGTAAATTGGAAACTTTTAACTCTGGTTTCTGGTGCATATCTGCTTGGCTTGCAAGAGGAGGAAGCTCTGAACTCCATCACATTTTTTAGAGCATTCTTGGCACTTTACTAGTGGGCTGCTCATGCCCTTCCTCCTGCACAAGAGCCTGGAAGAAGACAGCTCCATCTTCATTGTTTTCTTCATCAGCGTGCACACAACAAACGTCCTGTTTTTCATCAGCAAGTGTTTTATTAACATCTGTAGAAATCATATACTTTATGATAGAAAGGGCAAGAAATGTTCTTGTGTTTATTTTGGGAATAAAATGTGAAAACGAATAAGTTACAAAGCTACTGCCTTAGTTTTTAATTAAAGAAAACACATTTAGGTTTTGCGTTATTTCATTTAATAGTTATGGTTTAAAGATTGAAACATTTCCAAGAAGCATGTTTTCCTAGCAATAAAACATTTCAGGCAAGTTTCCTAGTTTTAGAATTTCTGTCCTAAGATAGTTTTTTCTTTTCTTTTTTTTTTTTTTGTTTAAGGAAAAATGTGGATGAATGTTCAAAAGTTGCTAACACTGAAGCTCATTTATTTTCACAGTGCAGGTTTATATACTTGTATGTCGGTAATTTAACTGATAACAGAAAAATTCAAGGTATGTGTGTGGTAATTTCAAGGGGAATTTGTGGTTATTTTTCTTTCTTGATTGTATAATATCCTAAACTTTATATTTGCAAAAGATCAGTAGATACATTGTACAAATTCACATGTTTCTTTACCCTGACCCTGATGTATTTTTACTCAACTGCTCTGTGTGGAACTTTATGGAAGAGGTGTAGAAAATCACTGAAGTTTGTTGAGTAAAAGCTACTTTTTTTTTTTTTTAAATGTGAGTTATTTATTGAGGAAGCCAGACTTCTGTCGTTGACCTTAAAAGTAGACGGAGGAACAGTGCTAATTTGGAGTTAAGAGTAAAATATCTGGATCAGCAAAGGATGTGACGTTTTAATGTAAAAATGTCTGTCACCAAAGGACATGTGTTTTTAGGTGTTGTAAGATTCTGGGTGCAGAATTCTACTGGTTTTTAAATGAATTTGAAGTTACTTTTTCATAGGTTACAGTTTATTCAGTTAAAAGCATTTAGCATCTACTTACTAGATATTTTGTGCAGTCCTTAATTAGTTCTGTAAAAAAGGCATCCACTCTATCCCAGTAAATATCAGTACCACATTGTTCATCACAATAATAAATCCTATTAGAATTTGCACACTGAAGTTGGAACCCAGCAGTGTCCCTTTCAGTGCAGATCTTTCTGTATTGACTGCTGTTTCAAAAGATGATCATACATAACTATTTTGAAGAAGCAGATGCTATTATTTTCAAAGGATGTTTGGTCAGCTTATTAGAAATATATGTGCTTTGAATCCTATCATTGTGGGATACTAACCAGTACAATTAAAACTGCAGCTGAAACTGGTAGGGGAAGAAGTAATGCCTCCTTCCGAGTGCTCAGTAAACAAGATAGCATGATAAAGGGAGGAATGGAAGGACTTTTCCAAAGCAGCACGTTACCTAAATTTCTGTGTCCAGTTGAAGAAATTTCTGGAATAAATAACGTTCCTGCCAAAGTAAGAAAGTCATTTTCCTAGTCTTTAAAAAATCATCAGCTTGTCATTTTTTTTCTTCTTTTCATTTGTTTAGGAAAATAGAAGGAGGGACAGTCAAATTTCATCAAAATGTTAGATAACTAGCCTTATTGTTCTTAAATATCCTATAGTTCATATGATCTATAATCTGTATAATCTTTGCAGATCTTTTTTGTAGAAAATCAGCTTCTCAGATTTTGGAAGGTAGTTGTGACTTTGGTAAGTCAACAGATGCATCTCATAACATTTTGTATTTTGTGTTTTGGAACATAGTTTATTTAAGAATTGGATTTCTTACGTGTATGTTTATTACTGTTATATTTACTTGTATGTGTTCATATTGCAAATTAACTGTAGGTGATCATTTATATGTATATATATATATATTTTTTTTTTCTGGCCTAACCTGGTTTTACTTGGCTCCAGTGAATAGCTGTCGCAGGGCTACGGGACATGCAGCTCAGAGGCCATCAAAAGCACACAAATTATTTGGGTCAATCCTGCCAAGACTTCCTCAGCTGAGAATTGAAAATCAAGAAATCCATGGCAGCCTGATTTTTATGTTGATAATTTTGTGTGGCATGTGCATACTGTTAATAACATCCAAATGGCTCTTGGCAGAAAGAAGTTTCCCTATCTTTCCATGATGGCATACTGTGTTACCTATTTCATTTTGTTCAAAGAAAATATTTAAAGTTGTAAAATACCTGGTGGCATGGATATTTTATAGTCTTCACAAAAAAATTACCTGATTGCTTATATTATCGGCCAAGGATGTGAGAACAATGTGTCATTCTTTCCACTTCTTTTAAAGGTGATGGATGTGGACATACTGTACTAGGCCCTGAGAGCGGAACGCTTACATCCATCAACTACCCGCACACCTACCCCAACAGCACCGTTTGTGAGTGGGAGATCCGTGTGAAGGTGGGAGAGAGAATCCGCATCAAGTTTGGCGACTTTGATATCGAAGATTCCGATTCTTGTCACTTCAATTACCTGCGACTTTTTAATGGAATTGGAGTCAGCAGAACTGAAATAGGTAGGACATTTTCTCGTAAATGCATATATAATGCATTGTTGCTTCAGATTGTGAGAGTAAAACAGTTATTGAATAATTATACTGCATAAAATGAGATGTGGGAAATGATTAAAAAAGTGTGGAAATCTTAAATTTGAATATTTTAGGAAGAGAAGAATCTTGTCTGTATTTGTTTCTCCCATGAGCCTTTTGTTGGTTTTTTCATGCAAGATACTACTTTTGTTGCTTCTAAGAGGGAAAAAATTATGTCACTTTTAGTGTTTTTCTTTGATTACTTGATTTGCAGTTGAAGAATACAAGTGTAATTTGTGCATGGGAGACAGAACAGTGCTCACTGAGAGCATGGGTGAAGGGTTTAAACTGTGGGATTAAAGCCTCTCTCTGCCTTTAGCTTGCTGTGTCACTTGGACAGGTTTGTACCACCTCTCTGTTCCCTGACACATCTGCTAAGGATGCATGTAAAATGCTTACAACAGCACCTTTGCCACAACACTTAGATATGCATTCCTGTTAGTGGTTACCCAGTGTAGCTACCCAGTGGAGTCACCCGAGGAGACTTAAAAACTGCTCTTATTCCTCACTGCTGTCTGAGACCCTTCAGTTGGATTTAGTCGGATGGGACCTAAGTTCAAAAAGTATCACAGAAAAATCTGTGATTTTTAGAACTTTTGGCATTCTCTAAAGAAAGGTAGAATATGCAAGGCTATTTCAGTGAACTAACATAGCACTATTGCTTTATTCATGAGTTGAAGTGTTGGTATCTTTCAGATGTAATAGGAACTCTGTATCCTGCTTTTTGAATCCCTGCTGTTGCATGCTTTGTTCTCCTCTCCATCTCCTGCCAAATCGTTCATCTCTTCTGTACTTTTGGCCTCTGATCTACCAAAGGATAAGTTATGTCCTATTTGCCTAGCTGCTGACACATAACCTCTGTTGTGTCTCAGCCATTTCTGATAGCTTGATTTTCACATACAGAGTTCCATGGATACATTCTATTTGATAAACTGTTAGAAACTTAAGGGAATGACTGTGGTGCATTGCTGGCATCCCATATGGGCACTGGTTTGAGTCCTGGCTGGTCCACTTATGATCAGGCCCTCTGCTGATGGACCTGGGAAGGCGTCCGAGGATAGGTAGGGTCCCTGGACACTTGGGCCCATGTCGGAGACCCAGAAGAAGCTCCTGGCTTCAATTTGACTCAGCCCAGGCCATTGTGGCCGTTTTGGGAGTAGACCAGCAGATAGAAGATCTTTCCATCTCTTATTCTCTAACTATAGATTTCAAATAAAAATTTTTTAAAAAATCTTAAAAAAAAAAAAAACAAGGTTTCTGGAATCTGCTAGAGACAGATTTGGGGGAGGAGGGAGAAGAGTAACTAATGAACTGGAGCTATAGAAAATCTGTGGGGCCCAGCGCAATAGTGTACTTCTGTAGTCCTCACCTTGAATGCCCCAGGTTCACATACGGTCGCCAGTTCTAATCCCAGTGGCCCCAGGTCCCGTCCAACTCCCTGCCTGTGGCCTGGAAATGCAGTTGAGGACAGCCCTAAGCCATGGGACCCTGCACCTGCGTGGGAGACCCGAAAGAAGCTCCTGGCTCCTGGCTTTGGATTGACTCAGCTCCAGCTGTTGCGGCTGCTTGGGGAGTACACCATTGAAAGATCTTCACCAAGTGAAAGATCTTCCTCTCTTTGTCTCTCCTTTCTGTATATCTGCCTTTCCAACAAAAATAAATAAATCTTTTAAAAAAATCTACTATGGTAAATAATAACTCAGTTGGATAGTAAATGCCCCCTGAGGGTAGACAGTGCCACCTAAACTTTGGGAACTGGCAGTGAAAAAATTTTTTCACACCTGTGATGTTACCTTACAGGAACTATAGGAGGCAGAGAAACATGTTCTGCTTGTACAGACTTAGTTAAGAATTTGAGAATTTGTGTAGGAAAAAAAATAACCTAGTTTCTTCAGTGTATAAATAGCATCTTTTAAAAAGAAGGAAGTGGAGAGAACTGTTGTATACTGAAACATGTCTTGGCAAAAATAATGCATAGACCATGTTAAATCTTGATTCAGGCTAATATTTTAAAAGATGACCTATTTAAGGCTATCAGATAAGACTGTTTAAAATGTTATTTTAATTTGTTGACATTTCTGGAGTTGAAATGTATAAGATTTTAAGAAATTTAGGAAGCAAGGGTGTGGAAAGGCAAAGGCAAAGGAAGAGAACACATTGGTAGACTTTGGTAATGAGCACCTGCGAGTTGCTACACCAGTTTTTTTTTTTTTTTTAATTCTCATCACGAATTGTGGGGTTTTTTTTGTTGTTGTTGTTCGTTTTTATTATTTTGTGATACAGTTCTACAAGCCCTGGGATTCCCCTTATTCCCTCTCCAACTCCCTCCCCCCTCACCAAGTTCCGCTGTATCATTACTATAGTATAGGTCTTCATACACAGTCATATGTCCATCATTGCAGGCATGGATAATGGCAGAGAGTTCAGCATCCTATTGTCAAGATATAGTAAACAATTTCATTGGGAGTCCATCTTTGTCTGGAAGTAGAGATGATTACTGCATTGTATCCTCACTAGGGACACTACTCAGTTACTGTACATCCTCTTAAATAAAAAGCCACAATACAAAGCAACAGGAAGAAAAATAGAAATTTACAATGCCATGAAGTTAAATAACATGCTGCTAGATATGAACGTCTCCACTACTCAGTTACTATACATCCCCTTAAATGAAAAGCCACAAAACAAAATCAGCAGGAAGAAAAAAAGAAATTAACAACACCATGAAGTTAAGTAACGTGTTACTGCATGAATAATGAGTTGCTGAAGAAATGAAAAAGAAAATCAAGAAGCTTCTTGAAAAAAATGATGTTACTGTATGATGAATTTAATCAGAAGAAAGTTTTGAAGGGATGAAAATAACAAAAAAAAAATCCATGAGATATGGTTTCTGCTAATCTTTGTGGGTAAAATGTGTCTCCTGTAGGCAACAAATAGATGAATTTTGTTTTTTAAATCTAGTCTTCTAATCTGTGACACTTGATTGAGTTTAAGCTGTTTTACATTCAGGGTTAATAAAAATAGGTGGTAATTTGGTTCTCTCATTTTAGTAATTAGTTGGTCAATGATTTAGTCTTCTGTTATTTTACTGCGATGTTCTTTGGATTTGCCTTTGGTTTTGGTGGGCACTATTCCTCTTTGTCAAGAGAACACCTTTAAGTATCATTTGTAGAGTATGTTTGGAAGAGGCATATTCTTTTAACTTTGCTGTGGAAGAATTTTATTTCATTTTCAAAGACAAAGGAAAGCTTTGCTGGATACGTTATTCTGGCCCAATTTTTTTGCTTTTAGAATCTGGAATATGTTGCTCCATTCTCTTCTGTCCTGTAGAGTTTCCTGTGAGTTTAACTGACATTCCTTTATATGTCAGTTGATTTTTTCACATGCACATTTAAGAATCTTTTCTTTATGTTTGATTGAAGAGACCGTGTTTATCATGTGTCTTGGTGAAGCTCGCTTTTGGTCAACCCTGTTGGGAGTTCTGTGCCCCTCCTGGATGTTGTTTCCCAATTCTTTCTCTAGATTTGGAAAAAAAATTTCCCATATTATTTCATTAAATATATTTGTAAACCCAGCTTCTATTTCTGCACGTTCTGGGACTCCCATAACTCTTGTATTTGGCCTTTTAATAGTGTCTTTCAATTCTTGAATACTTTTTTTGGCTTGATCCAGCTCTGATTCCAGCTTTTTGTTTGTTTCCCCCTGTTGATAGGAAATACCTTCTAATTTTGAGATTTCTTCTTCTGCCTCCTTCATTCTATTCTGGAGACTCTATTGTACTTTTAATTTGCTCTACTTAATTTCTGATGTATCAGCTTTCATTTGATTCATTTCCAGTGTGACATATTCCTTGAATTCTTTGAATGCCTGCTCTACATGCTTCTCATTGTTGAGAAGAAGTTTTATAACAAGTGTTTTGAATTCTGTATCCCCCTTTTTCTTGATATCTTCCTTAGTTAACTCTGACGTTGGCAAAGGATTTTGCCCCTTTGCAGGGGAGTTTTCAGTAATATTTATTGTGCCTCTGTGTCTTCTTTTGCTCTTGGTCATTATACTTCTGGTTATCAGATTTTTCTCCTTGGGGCAAGTTTCTAAGATGTATCACCCATGGGTCTACAATTCAATTTTACTTATTGTAGTGGGTACAGGGCTCTTTGTTTGCAGTCAATTGTGCCACTCCCTCCAGTGAGTTCCAGGTAATGGTTCTTATGTTAGATTTCCACCATGGTCTCTGTAACCCCAGCTCCTGGCTAACCACTCTCTACCTCCTGTGATATTGTGCTGAGGCTGCACCATTGTCTGTACAACCTTTCTCCCACTTCCAGTTGGAGCAGGTCTCAGAATTAGGGAGACAAGAGGTATCCGATATAGCTAGGTTGTTGGTGGTGTTAATCTTGCTGGAACCTGTTGCTTATTAGGTCTGAGGGCCATACGGACGTATTTTGACCCATACAATGCCATAATCGATATTATATTCCTGTGGGACCAGTGCAATACACTGAGCTCAGTGAGTTCTCCCCAAGCTCAGCAAATGCACAGCTCACTGTGTCCCCTGCAGTCTTACATTCTTTCCACAAGGTAAGGAATGGTGCCTGATTTACCGCTTCTAGAGTTCTTGACCTGCTGGCCTTCAGCTCTGAGGACTACCAGGGTGGAACCTGTAGGATGTCATGTTGTTGCAGTTCACTGAGCCAGAAATGAGTTCACTCCCAGCTCAGTGCGGGCACAGTCCTGACCCATAGCCTTTGCCTCCTTAAACAAAATGGCACCCGCTTTGGCCATAAGAGGCAGACTTTGCTTTGAAATCCACCCTGTTCCCACACTGCCAGTCTGGGACCTGCCGCTCTGTCTCTGCTCCTGGTCAAATCAAACAGATCAGTAGGATGAGCAGTTCTTTGTCTGGGTTCACCTCCAGAGTTCCCAGTGAA